GGGGACGACGACGATGAAGACGACGGCCCGCAGGAGGAGGAGGGGATGTTGTTGGCGCTCCAGCAACTCGCCGTGACGTCTATGCTGCTCGGCCACCATACCCTCATCGTCGGCCCGCGAGGAACGGGGAAGAAGACGGCTGGTCTGTTGGCGACTGGGGCGTTGACGCTGGCACGGGGGCTCCGCAGCCAGGAAGGTGACAATAAAAGCAGTAGCAACATTAATAGTAACGGTGACGCTGCTGAGGTTGATGCCGTGGCGGCGGGGGTGAAGCATGAGTCTTCGGATGCGCGCATGATGCGCCCGTCCGCCCCGTGCGCGATGATTTTGGTGAGCAGCTTCAACGAGGTCCAGCGCTGCAGTCGGTGGTTGCAGGATGTCTTTACGGCAGCTGCGCTTACGCCCATGACGTTTCGACGGGGAACGGCGGAGCTGGTGCCGTTGCCGGTCCTGCAAGAGGTGCCATGCGACCAGGCGCGCGCCGCGCTGCAGGAGGCAAAGGCCCCACCGCCGTTGCGGCCGCAACCGCAGTCGGGATCTGCCGTGACACTACTGCCATCGCCATCGCAGAGGGAGGAGACGCAGCGGCATCAGCAGGAAGAGCGGCGGGAGCTGCGCAAGCGGAGTCGTGACCACTCACGTGGACGCCATCGGCATCGATTCGGTCACTCGCCGGCTGCGCAGGAGAGGGCGAGGAGTCGTCGTCGACGGTATCGCAGCTTCTCGCACCGCAATTCCCGAGAGCGACGACACCATCGAAGCCGCAGCCATGACCATCGCCACGAGAAGAAGCGACGAGGCAGCAGACGTCACCACCGGCATCGCAGCGGTAGCGCGGGAAGCAGCGGCAGGTACGACAGGAAGAGGCAGAGGCGGGACCGCAGTCGCTCTCGCCATAGCCACCACCACAATGGCTGTCGTCGCGAGGATTATCAACTTCACGAATTACCGCAGTGGGAGGCCGCTGCTGAGCAGCTGCCCCATCCTTCTTTGGACTTCTTGGGTCTGGCCGCGGTGCCTCCTCCCGCCGCCACGCACGACACACCGACCTCAACGGCGCCCCGTGACGAGGTTCCACACTTTTTGCAGCAACGGCTGCCCATTCTCATAGCGACTCACCAGTCTCTGGTCGAGGCGTTGCAGCTGGTACAGGGCCAGGCGGAAGTGCTGCCGTTGGAGTGCGTTCGAACTGTGTGTATTAGCGACGCCGACCGCATGGCGCAGCCCAGTTCTCAAGTGGTTGCCCCCGCGTCGTGGTGGATTTCTCTCTCGAACGCGGTTGATGTGGAGTGCCAGTACATCGTGTCAGCCGCCCGCATGTACGACGAGGTCGACGGGTGGTTGCAGGAAACGCTGCTCCAGGAGACCCCTGACGTGGTGAATCGCTACCGTCTACGCGATGACACGGTGTGGGACGGTGTACAGCACACACTGGAGGAGGTGACTGTGGGCGAGGCCGAGGAACACGCCGCCCAGCACATGTTTGAACGTGTTGAGGCAGCGAAGCTACGTCGGCTGCTAGGCATTGTCACGCGACACTTTCGTGCATCTCACGCTGACGGCGTGGGACACTCGGATGTGGCAGGCACGCAGCGTCCCGCACACGACGCCGCTATGACGTTTTCTGCGGCGGCGCCTTCATCCTCGGTGGGCCGCATGGTTGT